TTTCGCGGTGCCCTTACTGGACAACTAGTCTCATTTCATCGGCCCCTGTGATGTATGCCCTCATGAGTGGCATACATCTTTCTATGATTTGAAGCATGTGGCGTTACTGCAAAAAATGACCGTGTGTGTGTGTGTGTATATGTGTGTGTGAGAGAGAGAAAAATAAATAAATAAATAAATAAAATGAAGTGGCCATCATGCGCATAGCCATAAAAGTGTGCTGAAAACATGCATCCTACAAGTAGGGGCATATGGAAAATTTTGGTTCTGGTACTTAACGGCTATCTGGTAGGGGCATACTGCAAATTTGGAACGTGTACAGGGAGGGTCATAACAAAAATATTTCAGGCCCAACCGACGCCGGGGTTCTATGGGAAATTTGAATCTTGGTTAGAGGGGCACGACAGGGTAACTGGGCTGTTAGAGGGGCGTGGGGCAAAATAATGAAAATTACAGGGGCGCTAGATAAATTTTCCAAAAAAAAAAACAGTAAATAATATATAAGATAATAAAATCGAAAACGAAGCGCGGGAAAAGAGAAAGGAACAGTTGGCTTTTTTTTTGTCTCGTCGGTCGGGTCCATATTTGAAATCGCCGATAAAACCGAGGGGGATAGCCCCGCCGGACCCTCAACCCCTCGATTTTCTTCAAACACTCCATCACTCCTTCGTCGTCGGTCGCTAACCACGATCTCGAACCTACCTGTTGAAAATTCAACACCGTAAGCAATAGTGCTAGGCCTAAAGTTGATATTAGCAGTGGCATAAATCTATATAATGGGTACCGTGTTTGGCATGGACCTGCCGGAATGCCCCAATGATACTACTTGGCCTCCCAACCAAATCCACGACCCCCACACTCCGTCGTTCGTCGTACGGGGGGCTTGGTGCTGCTAATAGCCTTCGTCTGCACCATCCAACTTGCCAAAGTCACGCCTCTTTCATTTTTAACGACGAAGCTCAATCTTTGCCTATGCTAACTCTGCTTACGCATACCTTCGCCGAGGTTGCAGAAATTTTTTTATTGAGCGGCAACCATAACAGACGCTCTATTGCACCACGTGCTACATAGACTCTAAGTCTCTACAAGTAGAAACAAACGCCAATACTTTCACGATTCACGACGTCGGTAGTATGACTTGACGTCGGCTATACCCATGCCCCCTTCCGCATGCGCATACGCGTCATGGTCAAACATACTGATCAAAATAAAATATTTTTTAATCATAGTTTAATCAAAAATCAAAGGTTGACCGACAATTGTGTCAGTTTTGTAACATTAATAAGGAAAAAAAAAGTCATGCGTGCCCTAAAACTACGCGCTCATGGACACCCTATTTTTCTTCTAAAGACACAACTGAAAAATAAAAAAAAAAAAATTGGTCATGACTCATACAATGCACCCAACTTTCGCTCTGAATTTTCGAGTCAAAATTATTTTTCTGTCATTTGTAAAAAATGGGGCGGATACCCTTGTAAGGGTATTCACACCGACAACGTGGGGAATACATCATTTGATATTTCGTTTTTTGTACCGCTAAAAATATAAATAAATCGAATCGGCTGACAAAAAAAAATAATGATGAAAATTAAAAATAAAACATCTTTCACGCCGTGATAGTTGTGTGATACATTCTCGAAAGTACTAGTGTGAGTAAGCCGTGAATGAGATCGTCTGTCTGAGGGAAAACAAAAGAAGAAGGAAAAAAATAAAAACATGTCTTACGACGTGATTGCAATCAGATACATTTTTTTACCAGTGTGAGCATAACCCCCTCGCACGAAGCAAAAAGAATAACGAAGATAAGATGAAAAAAAATAAATCAACAACAAATACGTAGCCGTGATAGTGACCAAATACATAACTGAAAGTACAAGTGATATTGTCCTTTGGCTACAACATAATTTTTTTTCTGAATTAAATAATCATTCTATACTAAAATTACATTCTAAATTTTAAATTTTCATTCCATCTTAAAAAATGTCATTCCAATTTTAAAAATTTTCGTCTTATTTAAAATTTTTCCTTCCTCGAATGGGGTATCCCTTCTTATTTGAACTGAATGTTAGAGATGGAATGAAAGTCTGGATGAGTTCAATAAATATTTTAATTGGACTGTCGTTCTAAGTAAGGATTTTCAGTCATAAATAAGGTCATCCAATCTAAATTAGAAGATATTTGTTGTAGTAGAACGAAAGTTTAATTAAAATATTTCATAAACTCATCCAGACTTTCATTCCATCTTGAACAAATAGATGTAGTTGGAAGGAAAAACCCATGTTTAGACGGAAACTTATCAAATAAAACTGGAAATTTTAGAATTGGACGAACATTGGAATGATAATTCATATATATGAAGGATTTTTCTTTTATGGAATGTTTTTTCAACTTTCATTTTTCGTGGGAATTTTTTTGTTGTATGGGTTCCTCGAAATCAATAGTCTCGAAGTACACAATTTTTTTTTCCCCACCCCTCCTTATAGTAGACCAACAGGGCCTGAATGTTTTTTTTTTGTAGGTTTTTAAGTAGTCGGAGACTGACCTTATGTTGGACCCTCAAAAGTTGCAGATGAGGTCATTTTCCAAACGGGGCTACAATTTTGAAAGGTAGTGGTATGTTTTTCGTCATTTGCTCTCGTTCATATTTATTAACAATTGTGGCAGATGATGAGTAGTGCAACTACCAGTAAACCCTAAAACCTTGCTACTATAGTGTGACCGCACGATCACAAAACGAGAAAGTTGTGAGTGCATCGTCCCTAAGAAGTTAAGAAGATTCATCCCCTTACATTGGATATTAACGATTGTATTTTGTCACCATCTGCAAAAAAATGTGCTCACATTTTTTTTCTTTCGTAAGTGGTGTGGCGAGGTCCTTAACCACCGAACGTTTCGCAAGGGATAAGTGTATTGCATTACGTTTTTTTCCCCTCTCCCTCCTCCCCCCTTGTTTTCTATTTTTCCTTTTTTTTTAGGAAAAATTTGGTGAAATAATCCAACAGGTTTGATAATTTTGTTAAATACCCATAAAACGGAGAAGTACGCTGAAATGCCCTAAACTTCTGCATCTACCCCTGTCCCACTGACAAATTTGCCATATGCTGTAGCCCTGGGCTACAATGGTCGTACGTTTCTTTTGCCATCTACAAGGTCCAACGACCATAAATACCTAGCTCAGTTGGTAAGACACACAAGTGATATTCATGAGGTCTTGAGTTCAATTCCCATTGGCCTGGTGGACCTTTGTGGACAAGTTTGATGCTTGGTACGTGGAGATAGGTCGTTGGTCCCCCCGAGTGACATTTAGCAGAAACTGTTGATGTTCATAGGGGAAGGGGACTGGAGGGGAGGCATAACGACTGATCCATCAAAGAAACTCGGTCCAGATGCTACCGGATGACCCCTGATCGATATCGTCCACCTGCTGTAGCAGGTATCACACCTACTGGGTTCAACTCCCGCATGTTCCCTCATTGGAGGTTTGAGTTGTGGCTGCTACGAGGTTCCCCGTAATCTATAATCAAAATTAAAAAATAATGAAAAGGGTCTTGTCCATGTTTGACAGGTAATTGAATTGGTTAGGCTTAAACCACTAGTATAGTGGACCTTGGGTGGGCCTCCGACGTTTTCGGATGGCCGAAATGAAATGACTGTCGTCGATCAGATTTATCAATGGCGGCCGTCGTCGGCCCCAACCTCCGAATTTTCAGGAGTTTGGAAAAACCATAATTTCCCAACACTGGCGAGGTACTAGTGGTTTAAAAACACTGCCTTAAAAAAGAAAAAAAAGGAATACCGGGGCATATAGACAAGTTTCCCAAGGCCCAGTAGGGGTATATGCAAAGAATGACATGTCTTATTGGCAAGTGGGGTATTTCGCAACGTTTAACTACTGTCATAGCGACATTTGGAGCCCGATCCCCCTGACCCTTCCTCCATTTTCGCGGCTCCCATCTCCACATCCACCCCTCAACTGACGAACACCCCTTCAACATCCCAGGTTCCTCCGCCGTCGATTGGCGAGTCCACACATACGTCTCATGCTGACGCAGACGCTGAGGAACTCAAACGGTTCACGGCCGACTTAAAACCCGCTGTTCGTGACCTGGTTCGAGAGTACCTTGACGTTTTTCTCCCGTATTTTTCATACAGCAGGATCCCTCCGATGCGCAGTGTTGAGCATTCTATCCAGCTTGTGCCTGACTATTGTGACCACCATCAAGCAACCTACCGACTCTCGATCCCAAAGGTGGTGAAATTCAAACATCAACTTGAGGATAGACAAGTTTCCTAGGGCCGGTAGGGGTATATGCAAAATATGACATGTCCCATTGGCAAGCGGGGTATTTCGCAACGTTTAAGTAGAGGCATTTCACCATACCTATGCCTCGAAATACCCCAACTTTCAGGGTCATTTCCACAATTTTCCCTTTCTTTTGACAAATGTGGAAAAGACGAACACCACTCTCGAAATGTGGAAAAGACAAACATGTGGGGGGTGCATCTGGCCATGGTCCTCTCTCGAAATGTGGAGAAAACAAACATGTGGGGGTTGCATCTGGCCATGGTCTAGCCGGAACTTCGTTCTCATTTTGCACATTTCGAGAGTGGTGTGGCGATGCCCACTATCATCGAACTGACCGGCCCTAAGTAGTATGGGCCTCGCCACACCACTCTCGAAATGTGAGAAAAAAGACAAAAATGTGGCGGGTGCATCTGGCCATGTTATAGCGGGAAGTTCATTCTCATTTTGCACATTTCCAGAGTGGTGTGGCTATGCCCTATTTCACTCATCTGCTTGTCGCGGAGTTCGAACTCGGCTCTGCATTGCAACAGTTCAGGAGGTACACTACCTGAGCTAGGCCAGTTGGTAACGTTGTCGTTCTTGCAATAGCTACCGGTCATCATCCGGCATCTCGGATGAGGAAGGCGTGTTTGGCTGAAGAAGATTAGCATGACGATGAGGATGGCTCCATGGCAGTGGTGGAAGTAATGGGAGATCGAGGTCGGCGTCCTCCTCCCTCCTCTCCCTGCTGCTCCTCCGCCTCGTCATCATTCCGTCAGTATTATCGACAGCACCGCCGCCATGCTAACGCGGATGAAGGTGTTGCCCAGCGTAGCTCAGCTATTGGCCAGGAGGTATCTTGGAGATGCGCCACGTGTCGCCACCACCTGTCGACATCGTGGATATGGCGGTGTGCGCCACGTGTCGACATCGCGAATTCGCGTCTGGTTGGCGCGGCAATTTGGGGCCACCGTCGATGAGAATCACGACAGCAGCAGCCCAATTAGCGCTGTCGTCATCAATCCAGTCCTCCAGAGCGCAATCAGCCCAGATCCCGTCAATTCTCAAGGTTATCCTCTCATCATTCCCTCTCCCTCTCTTACTCCTCCTCCTCTCCTTCCTTTTCCATCCCTCCCCCCCCCCTCGCCTCCTCTCTCCCTCTTTCTCTCGGTTCTCCCGTCCTCTTCCCTTCTTTCAGTTCCCTTCCTCCATGGATTGCTTCGTCCTCTTTCATCTTCTCTTTCCTTCCTCTCTCCT